AAATTTACTTCAGAAAGCTATTTACAATATAAATAATTATAAATGGGAACACTTTGCAAGATATTGTTGACATAGCTAAATTGTGTTTCCTACATTACATTCCAAAGGAAAACTTCAAATTACAGATGTTATGCTACAATGTCACTAGACCCTATACATTGCAAGGCATGGTATTGGAAACGCTGGCAATCTGTGTCTTTTTTTCCATAAATATAACCTATTGGTTTAAAGCAAACAAAAAATGCTTCATTCTGTCTCAAGTGCTCTTTTTGCTAGATCAGTGTGTTTTATGCATTGAAATATTTACCTTGGGAAAAAGTTGCAGTGCCTTAAAACTACTTTTCCTAATAGACTTTATTTCCTTAGAGATGTAAAGGTGCCCATGTCTTATAATGCGTGAGCAAGAATATTTCTTGCATTTCTAAACTTCCCACTATATTGGTAGCTGAAAAAAAAAGGATGCACGCAGTCCAAATTGCAATAAATAAAAATGTTTTAAAATTATATTTTGAATCCTAGCACAACAGGAAATCTTAAGAACTGTGTGAGAGGAGAGTTAAATAGTGAATACAGCCAGACAAAAAGCTTTGTTTCCTCCTGTATTTGATCTTTCCTTTCAAATACAGCTTCATAGATGGAGTCATAAATTACCTCTTTTCAGAAAGAGATGTATTCCTAGCAATTTAGAGCCAGATTTATCCACGGAAGTCCTGTATACATAAGCTAAATGCCACAGTGAAGTTTAACCTCACATAATTTTTATTTTCATTAATAAATGCTCTAAGGAACTGTGAAATGGAGTCACACTACCGCTCTCACCATCCTGAAAAGATCACTGTTTAATTTTCTGGTCTTCAAAATAACAGCTAAACCCTCAACTACACCTCTAGCAGGCTTTACTAATACCAGACTGAAGGATTACAGAAAAAGAAGTGTAGGGTTTTTTTGTTTTGTTTTTTTCTGTTGTTGGTTTTGGGTTGGTTTGTTTTTTGTTTTTTGTTTTTTTTTTTTTTTCACTCCTCTCCTCAGTGCATACAAATGAAATATTTAACTGTCAATACTAACTGCAAATAAAATAAAATAGGCTCTCCTCCACACTTTGGAGGTGTCTGGAGTTAATCCAGTATACCTACAGGAAAGCATGTTCATCCACCATTGTTCCTAATAACAAAGCCTGTATTGCCTTTAGACCCTTAGGTGTTTTAAGTAAACTTGCAACTCATGGAAAGACCAGAGCCCGAATCCATTTGCTGCCAGACATTAACTATAACCACCTTAAAATAGACATAGCTAGGTCTAATCCTGGGACTGTGTGCTATAATCCCCATTATGTACAACTTTGGATGCAGAAAGTCTGAAACCAATGCGTATGCCACAGCTTTGTTCCTTGACTGAAAGGTTAACTGACCTTTGGAATAGCCAGCCTGATTTTCTAGGGGTGGCTGTGCCTTTTTCAGAAATACAATGTGACCTTTAATTTTTTTCCAAATCACTCAGGATGTTCACATAAAGGAACATATGGTGGTTAACATACTTAAGGACATCGATGATAAATGCTGAATGTCCAGAGATAAAAATGAAATTCAGATAAGAGTGATTAAAAGAGTTTAAAAAAGCAGAATTTCACTGCGTAACCTGTGGCAGTACAGCGGACACATCAACAAAAGACATTTAAAGCTTAAGAAATACTTCTGGGGTTCTTCAGTGCAGAGAGATGCACTCATTTTTTCAAAGCATATATAAATAACCTCTATTATAGAAACACAGCCATTACAGCTATTACCTTCCATAGTTTCCATACTCACATCTTGAGATTAAGAAAAATAAATTACAGACAAACCCCAAACCTATTTCCACTTCACAAGTCAGCTTTTTTAACCTTACGCATATTAAGTAGTACCTTACTCCACAAATATTCCCATTTGAGTCAATGGGACAAATTGCTGAGTAAGGTTCTTCTTCTAATTTAAGAACTGCTTTGCAAATTTGTCCAAAATTACAGACTCCATGTCCCTGGGGGGCAAATTTGTATAAAGAAGAGAGGGAGGTTTTGCTTCTTTAAACAAAAAACATATACCAAAATCATAATGCACAAAAATTATAATGCACCATTTACTGATATCAATAAGAAATGGTTTGAAAGAGCTGTGGTCACTCTGTATTTGGAGTAGCTACAAAATATTAATTTGGTGTTAATAGCAAAACAGTATTATGTTAGAGAAATGATGCAACACAGCAATTTATATTGTTTCTGTTCCAAGACACAACCAATATACCTTATTTAAAGTGATAATCTTTAGCTAATTTAATACATTTCAAATGTGTTTGGTACAAATGCCTTGCATTTTTCAATTTTGCAAAATATCTCATCTGATTTAGAAAAGGAAGAAACCAAAAAAGAGAAGATGATATTCTTGAAGGATACTAAATAAAAATTTGAATTAAATAAATATGTAATGGAAAAAAAAAAGCTTTATACCATATCAAAAAACTACCTGTAATATGAGCTGCAGTGGTATTATATGCTATAATTAATATTGCAAACTTGCTTTCATGTAGCATGTAGCATGCGGAGTCTATGTTTACAACATTCAATGCTTCCTGTCAATTAAGAAGAAATTCCTGGCTATCTGAAGAAACAGGATGGCAGATTAGCTGACAAAAGGCATCTATCTCTGGCAGACTGTACTGATGTGCTAAGGAGTGCCAGTTGCTGGAATCCCATGAGGGGAGTGAGCAGCAGCCTTTGCTTGCAGCACAACACGGCTGCACGTACAGACCTCTCTACTGATATATTCCATTCATTACAGTGCATTTTGCTGCATTTGTCATTGTAGTGGACTGGAACTACTGAAAACGGGGTAAATAAATACGGTTTGGGAAGTTTTATTTTGGGATCACAGTAAATAAGAATGGGGAATTCTTATTGCATAGCATGCTGGCTTTTTTCCTAGGTGAAATCATACAGAGTACAAGCATCTTATATTGCGCCTGTTTGTTTTATAAGACTTATAATTTTTAAAAGTGCCTGTCAGAATGCAAATACAACAGTGCCCAAACTGGTTTCCTGACTACTTGTGGCCATTAGACCATGGCCATTAGACCATAGCCAGGCAACTGCCACTGGTCTGCAGAACTCTATTGCCTTCTAATTAAAAGCTTGATAACAAGAGTGCTTGGTGATCACAGGAAACTTGGGTCCTGACAAAACCCCATTCACCCAAGCCGTTTCGGAAACTCTTCTGTAATACAAAATAATATTGACACTTAAACTTATTTTTATATGTACTAGTAGGGATAATATGATACCATGTAACTCTACTCTAATTAATTTTTCAATTTGTATTTTAATACTGTACAATGAGACTCCAAATACAAGTTTATCCATATTATTAATAGGAATAAGTGAAATAAATATGTATCCAGAACTAGATTTATCAAAAATACTTTCTCATTCCTATGCTTTAGGAATATATACAATTGTTGGGCTGAAAGAAGTCCATTTTGGTCCATTCCTTCCTCTGAGTTAACAACTGTCAATGTTTTTCTTCCCCTTGATTATTTGCCTTGTTTTTAACTTAAAACAAACAAACAAGCAAAAAAATCTCTAGCTGCTTCTCTTTATGACCTTTGTTATTCATTTGGCATTTAGTCAAACAAACTTCTTGCCAAATCATTTTGTTCTCATTTTGCCTTGGCTAAAATTCAAAGTCTCTCATTTCTGCCGCTAGTTCAAATAGTTTTAGACCATTATTTATCTCTCCTATGTGTAAAGCTCGGTGCACACCAGTGATATTCCCCTTTACTCTTTTCCATTACAAAGATGACAGACCCAGTTTATTTAAAGTTTTTATTAGATCTTTCAGTCTCTTTATCTTTTGCTGAGCTCTGCTCCACCTTTTCTATTATGAGGTTTAGATAATAAAGACCAGACTGTGTTGCTCTTCCTTGTGTTCAATGTACATTTCACCAGGACTGATCACCAGGAGCAGTCAACAAAGATTGCTTATGGAGTAAGGTACTACTCAATTCAAGTTTCACAATCTGCCTTGGAGTGATCAGGACTATACACAATATTCCAAGTTCAGAGAGGTAATTTCCTCTGCTTTCAAGTACATCTCTACTTACGTGGCTTATAATGTTATTATTTAGCTTTTGCTTCTGATTAGTTTTATTTGAAAATAGATATTTTTAACCCACCCATAGCATGCTGGTTTATATTTAGTCCCACTGATGACTCAGTCCCATATGTCGAGCTTCTTAATGTTACAAATGAAGCTAGACTTAGTGCTAATCTCATTTTAGTAATCACCTCAAGTCCCCTTACATCCACATTGGTATAATAGGGAGTGGTGGTCCTGCTCCCATTGCAGTCAACTTTGAGACTTCATATAAACTCCAGACAAAGAAGGACAGGTCTATCAATTGTGCCTACAAATGCCCTATTTTATTTTTTTTTAGCATATGTTTTTTATTTACTCTTTTCCAATCAATTAGTGTCTCTTTGTTCACAAGATTATTAAAAATTGCAGAAAGTTTCTCTGCCTCTTTTGATGTCTTCTATAACTCTAAGACAGACCCTGATAATATCAGCATTCTTAATACAATTTAGTTTCTTGAAACCCTGATTTCCCTTAGTATTTTTTAATGCACATATGACTGATTTTGATATCCCTAATATGTTCTGACATTCATTATATTTTCTGCTGCAAGCAAGAAAAGAATGCATATATCTTTTTCAAAGTCATACCTATTACTTTACTGTATGTCAGACAGAGAAGTCACAATTTTTTATACTTTCTTAATTTACTCTAAACCTTTATCAGAGATAGGACAAACCACCATACAGATTTTGTCTATTCTCACCTCTCATATTTTTACATTTAAGCAATTGCCTTTGTATTTTACAGCAAAATTTCTATTATTTTATTTAGTTCCTTCTGTGTTTCAAATTAATTCTTAATTATTCAGCCACTATAAACCACTTTTCTTATTTTATAATTATTACTAAATGGCATATAGCCATAGGCTTAACTGTGTTTATCTTGGACCACTCCCAATTCCAGCCTATTGTCCCTGTTTCTCCTGACAATTTTCTTCCATTTCACTCCACTACTCACCTTGTGCAACCTTTCAAAAATATGAGGAAAATCTCCCATCTCTACACGAAGACAACCAAACCCATTGTATTTCTCAAAACTACACTGAGAAAGGCCCTCTTCCTTTTAAATGCAGTAGAAGAAATATTTGATCGTACCAATCATAAGGATACTGCTCATTTGACTCCTTTCAAATCAAGCGTATGTAAATAGCTATGCATGTGAGTACACAAGGAAATAACAATTTGAGGAGTTCTCTCTTCCTTCTCCCCTTTTTGATTTTGTATTGGTTAGCCATGGATGCTTTATACCATGGAGCAGCATAACACACTTGGCTGTTAGGGAATAAGCAGATCACCAGAAGTACACATTTTGATGTGTATTTCAGAGGAACACATTCCAACTTTCTGTGTTAAAAGAGTGCATAGCAGTTTCACTGGCTGGGACCTGTGGGGCACCTGCAATTCAGAAGGTCTGCCCTTGGCAGCATTTCCAAACAACCACCTCTTACACAACGTGCATAAATTGCTCCGCTAGCCTGCCCCAAGCACTCCCTGCCTAGACCTCTTCCATACGTCTCACCTTGCATGGCACGAGCTTTGAGTTTAGCTCCATTCACTCTAACCCTGCATGCCAGTGCATTTTTAATTTTTATAAGTAATGTGTTTTAACTAATCCCCCCAAACCTTAGGTTATTCTTTCTAGTGCACTGTGGTATATCAAATGCTGGTAACGACACGGGCATGAAAACATATAATATCTTCCAATTAGATTTCAAAGGTTATTTTTTAAAGCACAAAAGTTTTTAGAAAAAAGTGTCAGCTTCCATTGGTTATTATAACAGATGTTCCCTTGTGTCCTTGTGCTGGATCTTGCTGCATCCTTAACTGAGAAGTGACATCAAAGTGTGATCCATTACAGCCTAGTGAATAGTTTCTAATGGTTTCAGTGTCATATAGATGCTCCAGGGCATATCCAGTTAACGTGTAAGCATGCTTATCAAAGTACTGCCTGTGGGAGCTGTAATAATTTGGAGAGGCTGCTGGGTGGTCCCCTGGGGTTTGATGAGGGGACATGTCTGAATGCAGGTAGTCTTTAGCTAGTACCAAACTAGATTTAGATATTCGGTCAGAATTGGGGCTGCTTATCCTAGACAGTGTTGTGGGGCTGTTGTCATAGTCATTTTCATGTGGGCTCATGATCTTTCCATCTCGTTGCTGGATGTGTTCACAGGGAGGAGTGTTGGCAACTGTTGGGACGCGGCAGACATCCCCTGCCAACTGCTGCTGAGGGTAGTTCGCAAAACAGATAGCGTGCTTCTTCCCCGTGCCATTAATGGAGACCAGTGGATCAGGGGTTGTTTTCCTCAGCTGTAGTCTGTTTTCTTCCTCTTTAATCATTTGCTGGGTGGCTCTTATTAGAGTTTCAATTTTGCTGGGCTCATGTGGACTGCTCTGATATTGCTCAGTACGGTATCGGTCACCTGATTCACTGGCAGAGCCAGGGTCAGGTGAGCTAACGACACTGTCCTCATCCCAGTGTCCTCTCCCTAGGAAAGAGAGAAAGGGGACAAGCATTGAGGTTGAAGGAGGCAAGCAACCTTGAAGTACAAGTACTCTGAACCTTATTTTGCAGACAGAAAACCAAGACAGAGACAAGTGACCGGTTACAAAGTCAACAAGAATGACCATGGTAGACCCCTTGCTTTTCAGTGACAACCTCCAGTTTCCAGTGTCCGTACACAGAACAACTAACATAGATGAAAATATATAAAAAGGAGATCTAAGCACCTCAACACAGACATCCAGTGCCACCTGAGGCACTCTAGAATAACCAAGTATCTGCATAGGCCCAGCAGGTATGGTATCAACTCTACAGGAACTCTGTGTCTTCCGGAGCAGCTAGAGGCCAGTCAGGGTATCCTATGGCATGTCAAAGTGCCCTCAATACCGATGTTCAGGCCCCTGACCCCTCACTATCTCTTTGCATCAACAAAGCCTGAGTGAACGGAGACCATGGTGAAAACAAAAATCTCAAGGAATTACAAATGTACATCATTCCATCATGCCTTCTTAGGTCTTTCCTGAAGTTAAAATATAGAGACAGCATTGAGGAATAGTTTGTGGCCCTGTCGTGACTTTACGCAGGTTACACAACTATAAATAAAGACAAGTAATGAAGCAGTTCTTTAGAAGCGGAAGAACCCATAGCTGTTAAACAGGGTTACGGTAAAAATATGTCATATCCCAAAACATAAATATTTGCTGCATAAAACTTTTTGAATGGGAAAATATAACCATATTCTTACCTCTCTTTAAAAAATAAGGCCCATAGACATATCAGAGAAGGTGTTCAGCTTGCATGTAGCTGAAAGGACAGAATCAGACCTGTCAATCCTCACTAGGAAGAAAGTGAGTGACCCCCAAGCCTGAACAGCCAGCTAGGATCACACGATAATAAAGGGCTTGATAAAGGATTTGCTGAGATACGTGCTTGCAGGAGGGCACGTGTTGGACTTGCACAAATTACTTAATGACACCTTTGCCTCAGCACATACAAAGTCCTCTTTGGGGATGAGGCCTGTTGAACTGGTTGACAGGACTCCTCAAAGGAAACCCATTTTCAGACTAGCACAAGTAGTTCCTTCTGCTCTGTGTTGAGTCAAGGCATACAGATCTGTTTGGGTGACGAACCACTACTGGTGTGTTGCAAGAGTTCATGACAAAAATCAGTGATAGGCTTTTATAATAAACGTGTCCTGCCATTTGTTGGTAAAAGTACTGCACTGTGGAGTATCCCATGAGCATAAATTTATTCTTCGTGTCCTCTTAAGACCTGGACCCAAAATGCCATAGCCTGGAGGTGGAAGGGAGCTCCAGCCACCAGAGCACACCACAACATCCTGGGGAGCTGGTCGGCCGTGACTCTAAACCACAGGGTCAGTTTGTCTCACTGCACGGACGGTAACTGTGGTGTCCCAGACTTCCTGAGTGTGACCAGAAACACATGGGCTCACACACAATATCCAGGGCCTGCCATACGGGTCAACTCATTGTTGTTATTGTAAGGCAACTCCAAACCAGGACTACCAGAAGATACATTAAAAGAATATAAAAGGAAGAAAATATTTTCTGCCCAAAGAAATAGCTATGACAGCAGTTTTCACATAGTATTGTCAAAACCAGTTTCATTCGTGAAAGGCCAAGGTCTGAAACTGCCTTAATCTAAATAAAAATGACACATTTGCTAGGGAAGCTGAGATGTTCCTCTCCCCAATTAAGAATAACATGTTAGGTTTTACCCCCAAAGCTGCATGTAGACTGAAGGCCTGCTGAAACACGTAAGACTTAATACAAGAAAGAAAATAACTGCAGCACCTGGAATTACAGCAAAACCAAGGAACAAACTAAAATAAAATTGCATTATCCATTTGCATCCTTGATAAAGTTATAGAATAAATATTTAACATTTTTGTATTTGTACCTCCATATGATATTTCTACATCATTATCTTTATGCTCAGCAAGAATTATCATGTGTAAAATTTGCCAGTGAAATTATCATACTTCACTCAATTCTCTTTTTTGGAGAAAAAAAAAAAAAAAAGCTAGAGAAACACCAGTATGACAGAAGTACAGAACAGACACAAGGAAGGAGGTGTGTTCTCACAGCAAAAGTGGAGAAAGTCCTCATCAACAAAATTTAGGTCTCCCTTTCTTTCTTCATATTTCTTCTGACCATATTTCCCAGACCTTTTGTCTAATCTCAACATAGTTTTCCTCAGATTGGAGTAAAATAGTAGAGTTCATTTTGATTTCCAAAGCCTCATTCTGCAAGTTAATGGAATGGTACTAATGCAATTAGCTTTTATGAGTTCTTTGGATACAACCTATGTTTTGACAAATTATTTTAATAGAAAAGCATCTTTTTTTATGCTGCATCTATCCTTACAACCTTGAACTCTGACTTTTGGGTCAGCTGCAGTCTTTCAACCTCCAGCCTACCCTTTAAATTAAAGGATCTTCAGACTTTTCCAAACCCAAGATCAGCCTTTCACTGTGACTTTTTTATGAGCTTCAGCCTCTGAAGATGTGCTAATGCACTGAGTTTGCAACCTGACAGACACCAAGCAAGGCTTCAGGCTTGGTCCTGAAAGGATGGAGAGACTCAAGTTGGCTAAAAATTATGGCTAGGGAGAGAGACATGTCTGAAACCAAAAGCTAATGTTAATTTGAATTGCCAATCTTAAATAAAAATAAACATCAAATCTTACATAATCTAGTAAAAAAACATTTGGAGAACAATTTCTCCAAAGACTTTAAGGATTTCTTAATATCTAGCTTGGATTTAGCTCTAAATTTTCGCTAAATATATTCCATCCAAAGTATTTTAATCTTAAATGAAATAAAGAACACATTTCTATCAAGTGTATTATTTTGCTTATAGCTTTAAGATCAACCTTAAAATCTCACCAGGCAGATATTTCCACCTTAATTTCAGAGATTAAAAAATATACGGCAAAATCATATTTTGCTGCATATAAGCCAGACTGTCAAACTCATCTTGAATTTTAATCATTCCTCATTTCCATAGATGCGATCTCTGAGACGAGGACGTACATCAAGAGCCTCTCTCATTTTCTGTCTCTCACATACATAAACAGCTGCTCGTTTATATCACGTTGCTTTATCTGAGGTGGTGCCACTGCTGCAAATCCTTGTTATCTCTTACCATGAATCCTGTGCACTGACGTTATGTGGGGCATATTGTTTTCATACGCTTCTCTGCTCTCGGGGGACGACTTAGTCAGAGGCAATGCTGAACGAGAACCCCACCAGCTCTCCCTTCCCGGCTGCGGCGTGCCAAGGAAATACCGGCCAGCTTCACATCTGCCTCCTTCGCAGGCCTGAGTGTGGAAATGTCTGTCATCGGCCAGCCTGGAGTGGTCGAGTGCAAAACCGTAGCAGAGAGCACTGCGGTCTGAGTACTGTCTGTAGGCACAGGAGACGTCGTGGTGCTGGGAGCTCGGTCTGTCCGCGGGCTCCAGTAGCTGGGGAGAAGCCGTATCGGTCAGGGGGCTCCCGCCCCACTGGCTCTCGTGGTCAGACTCGGATCTCTCGGTGTGAAATCCAGAATACTGCAAAACAGGAGGAGCAGCGGGGAAATTACTACGCCTGGGTGAAATCTGCAAGTGACTGCACTGAAAAGACCGAGTATGTATAGGATAGGGTGTTTTTTTGTGAGCGTGCCCACACGTCTGCACCTTCTGATTGGACTCCTACTCCTTTCCTGTATAACACTCTGTAATGAGCTCACAGATGACAGGACAGACCTCATGAAAGTCTAAAACATCCCATGTTGAGCCTTAATAGCCATCTCCTTTATGATGTGTAATATTAGCCTCAGCAACATCAATGTTGCAATTCAATATTTTTTTAATATGTCCAGGTTTTTCTTATTGCTTTGAAAGCTAGTGCTTATGCTCAGCAATGGTGCTCCAACACTCCTCTGCAAAGCGCTTTCAAAAGGGACTGAAATAAACATTGCTCGTGGAGCATTCTCACATGTCAAATTGAAACTGAATATATTTCAAGTTCTTTTTCTAAGGGTTCCCTCTCTTTTCCTCATATTTTGTTTGTGGTTGGATTTTTTTTTTCTTACCTGGAGTGGGATCTTTGAACTTCTTTCCTCCTATTAGTAGGGAAAAGAAAGCCTCCTGTAGATCCTGGGACTACCAATGCTGCTACAGAGTAAAGCTCTGAAGTCATGGCAGATCAGTAGGAAGCTAAAAGTCACAGCTCTGTTGTGATGTGGGAATAAGGAAAATCCAGAAAGTGTTTGCCAGAAAAGGTGGCTGCTAGCCAAAGCAGGCAGAGTGGGCATTTGGCACCCTCGCTTAAGAAGGGCCCTCCCAACACAGAAAGAGCAACTAGCAGGCAGTTGGAAAAGCAGACAGAATAGGAGCATGTTTAGAGAGAAGTAAGGGTTAAGTTAAATGTCACAGATTTCTAGATACTCATAATGAATGTTTCAAACTTTCAGATACTTTGTGGGGAAAAAAAAAATGCTTATTAAACCTCTTGGAATTTAGTTATCTCATTTTTAAATCTCTTTATTTATTGGAACTGTCGAACTTCATGGAACATCTTTAAATCAATTCCACCCATGATTATGGATTGGGATGAGACCAAAGCTGTACATGCTCACCTCTTCAGTACTGCACAGTCAGGCCACAAATCAATGTATTACAACATGAAACCTTGAAATTCTCCCATTCCATCACTCACCTTCCAGATGCCCACTCTGCCTTTTCTTTTAATAGGTATTAGGCCTCTCTCCTGAAAACATAAGCTTACTTTCCTTTTCATTAGATTGAGTTGCTATGAAACTCCTCATTATCAACCAGGATCAAGGTTTTATGCACTTACCAATCGAAAGTACTGACCAGATGTTTGACTTACAGAAACTTAAACCATCTGTGCAACATCAGTAGTGCATTTGGCATTTAATTGGGTATTTCTTCAGTATTCCAGTTTATATTTGTGAATACTGTGTGTTAACACAATCGGTTATTTAAAGGAAAGAAAGAAAGGGTCGTGGCTTTGGGGAGCTCAATTATATTTTGTTATTAGTTGTCAGAAGAATACCCACAGGCAAAAAGCCTACCAGTAGATATGGAGGAGGTCAGCAAGTCAGTACCACCACATTCATCACAAGGTTAAGGAGGTGAAAGGATAAATCCAATTTTGCATGGAGGTAAGATAGTTACAGAGCCACAAAAGGCTTTTAAATTCCAGTAACTCAGCGTACATTAGCTAAGAACTTTATTCAGCCATGACAGTGTTACATGACCAACTGGAACATCTAACTCTCCTATTATCCTTTCAGAGCTAAAGTCTTCAAACTGCTTCATCCCAAAGGTATCATCAAAAATACTGACTTCTTATAAACTTTTTGACATAAATATGTAGATAAAATTAAGTTTCCGGTGAAAAAAATTGTAAATTATTAACAAGATTTTGACTATTAAATTTTAGTTAAAATGGAAATTCACAAAAGCAAAATTACTTTTGTACCTGTTTTTCATTTTAGAACTATTTTTAGTTCTCCTTTTGGATTTGAATTTTATAAACTAAATTTTTTAATTTAAAAAGTTAAGCTGAAATATAAGATAAGCATAAATGTAACTATAAAAAGTTTAAAATTCATTTATTTTCTTATTAAAAAGAGAACTCATGGTATGTATTTCTTTCATAAGAACAAGGAAAGTTCATTTCTATATAATATTATAATAAAATTTCTTTTTTTCGGACAATCTTATGATGATAATTAATGCCTGAGATTCTTTCAGACTGAAAATTCTTAATTTCATTTAGCCCTAATAGATACTTTTTTATTAGTTCTCTGTTTCTAAGGACACCTCAGGGTCCAACATAGCTTCTCTTGAAGGGAATTTCTTCATTTAACTGAAAACTTGCTCTTTTTTTTTTTCATCTTGAACCTAACCACAAAGGATTCAATTGCACAGGCCTTTATGCACTTTTCTTAAAGAAAGGAAAACCTCTCCAAAGGGTACATGTTCAGTATATCAGAAATGCACCATGTAATGTCATATAACTATGTAGCCAAGACCAACAATACTTCATGCATATTCTTTGTACTTGATGTAAATGATGATTATTTGAGATCTGACCCGTAGCAGCTGCTAGGCCACAGACAGAATTAAATTAACACAGTGAATTGCTTGTGGTCCACATTGTCGACCAAGGGTCGATCTGACTGCCTGCTCTTAAGGTACAACATAAGCAGCCATAGGCCAAAAATACGTCTCATTCCCTTTAAAGCTAATCACATCTCTATTTGGCATCGTCAGGCTGCCTCTACCGCTGCAGTCCTACTGGGAATCTGATGTTGACAGGTGGGGACTCCAAATACGGGCATGTGTGACATGTCGACAGGGGGAGAAATGACAGGATGATCAAAGATACTGCCTTACTGAAATGGGAGTGGAAACACTATCTCTCAAGTCAGAATTAGGCTCCCATATGTCAAGTGATGAAAGGCCATAGAAAATGGAATCAGATTTCATGAAAATTATGGCAAATTAAAATCAGTGAATTTTTTTTTTCAATCACAGTCCTGCCTGCCTCACCAGAAATGTTTTCCTTTCTGCTAATTTTTCCCTTTTGACTCCTACCAGGTAGAATTTTTTTTGTTTGTTTGTTTTACAAAGTTTAACCAGCAGACAGAGGTTAAACATGATAAAGAGCTTCAGACAGGCAAGATGTGAAATATAAAAATCACCCTTCAGGTGATTTCTGAAGTATCTTCTGTCATAAACAACAAAAATAAATAAACCAGATGGTCCTCCAGCTGGTTGCTGGAAACTGAATTGCCACCGCTGGGTACTAGAAATGTCTTCCAGAGTGCTAATCCAGTGTACCATAGCAGTGAGAGCACACCAGTGGGATCAGCACTGACATAGAAGGGGGCTATCAGCCATCACTGATGCGATTTTCACTCCAAGAAAAACTTCAGCAGGGCTGAAGGGGCAAGGAAGCAAGAAAATATAAATCCCATGTTGGAGAAAAGCTTACTCTCCAAGAGCCCATGGCCATTAGCCAATAAATCCCGGGTGATTTTCTTTTGCCTGACCTTCCATTCCCGCAGGTGTCTCACTGGCCTGAGCACTCACCCTGTCATACGCAGCAACATCAGCCTGCTCCGCACACTGTGCCAGATGTTCAAACAATAGATGTTATAGTTATCTCATTTTCTGGAAGCCTACTCAGGTTTTTATCATTATAAACATTAAATACATAGTGAAACCCTCTCAGAGTCCTCTTTTCCATGAAAAACTTTCACTACATCAACATTAGCAGCTTTCCTCTTGATTTGTGTCTTAACCATGAGAAAAAGCATCACAGATGCAGGCTGCATTGTACTAAGAACATATGCATGCTTTTAAATCACTTTTATCTTACTTTTTACTAATGTAATCCTGAAATGTAAAATATGTTCTTTTTGCGTTCACTATTATAGGCAGAACAGATGGTGAAAGGCTTAGATTAAAGTAATACAGCATGTCCATTAAAATAACCCCCACTGCTGGTGACTCTTCACCAGATCAGGAGTTATGTTTACTATAAAAAGAGGGGTTTGCTTTGCTTTTGAATATGCTGGAAGTTGCCAAAGCTTTAGGCCACAGGAAGAAATGAAAAAACAAAAAAAAAAAAACAAAAAAGGCTGACTAGAATTCAGCCTGATTCTATTATCTTTACCCCATTGGGCAATATGCCCAAATAGAGGTGGACTGCAAAATTAATCCAGATTATCTGTTTAAAGAGCTATAAAATCAATTTGCCTCCAAAATAAATTGCATTTATATACACCTACTAAAGAAGGTTTTTACTTCGAAAACTTCATGCATGCTGTAACACACACCAAAGCCTCCATCCGACAGCTCTTGGGTACATCCTTACTTGTATGCGTGTGTTTGGTTGTTACATATATATATATATATATATATATATGTATATATTTAAAATCTTTATTGAAGAACTAAAATGAGATATGAAGGAATAAACATTTATCCAGATCTGATCATAAAATATTTTCATTAGAGGCAGACAACAGACAATTTTAGATATTGTCTTTAAACAATCATCATTAATGAGAGATTAAGATCCAGAGCAGTTGCTCAGATGATCACAATTAAAATGTTTTTCCAATCTTGTTGCTATTTCCTGTGTACAGAATAAATGAGGTCCGGGGCTAGATTTTGGGAGCGCCTGACAATGATGATTGTTATGGGAGAAGACTACAGGCATCTTTTAACCAACTCACAATTTCCTTTTCCTGCAAATCTCTATCAAGTCTTCATCTCTCTTGTTTTTTTCACCTCCTCTTTCAGCTGTCCACCTCTCTGGAAGAACAGGACTAGAACACTGTTCAAAGTGTCTGGGCAAATCCTACAGCTTTGTCATGAGTTTTGGGTTGCTCTCCTCTCTCCTTGTCCTTACCCTGCCTGGGGCTGGTTTCACAGAACCTACTAGCCCACTGTACTAATGTCAGTCACTGTTAATCAGATGCTGATCAGTGCTTCCAATTTGATGAACTCAGTTTTTGCTTAAAGAGTCTACCGGCCCCATATTACACTATGCCTGTTTTTGCATCAGACTTGAGGAGAAAAACATTAACACTGCCTTAGGTGACCAAAACATCCAACTTTTGCCCTAGTAATAAATATTCAGCTGAAATTTATTAACATGTTTTTCATACAGTTCATATCTCATGTAGCTATCCTATCCTAGGGACACACAGCTAGCAAGGGAGAGGATTCTCAGTCATCACCCAACAAAGCATATGATTCCCTTTTCTCCTCAAGAGCAAAGCAAAGTAAGTGGTAATGGGGAAAGAAGACAAAACAAAAATAAAAACAAAAAGGAAATAAAGTATGTACATTTTAAATCTTCTAGGTGCTCCTAACTTTAAGAAGTACTTTGCCCACTACCATTATTTTACTAATAAACTTCCTGCTTCCTCCCTCCACCAAAATCCAGGCTTCTGCATAAGCCAAACCCCATGACCTCACTTTTCAGCCGTGGCTTTTGAGTCACACTCTAATTCTCTGCAATTGGGTGGCAAATTGCGTGGACTGGAGACTGAGGGACACAGGCCATACCACCTGCTGATTGTTCTTCACAACAGCTTTTCTTAGTCTTTCAACAGTTTATTCAGTGGTGGAGAAGGATGAGAGGGATGCAAAGCCAAGCTGCCAGCGTTGCTTGTGGTGATGCGCTACAATGAGTGGTATGACCATTTTTCAAGATATTGGCAACTAGCACGGCTGCTTCTTTTTGAATGATGAAATCTGTGACTTTACTACCAGGCAGCCAGTAATGGGGATGCAAAATGAAACTACAGCCTAAACACCCTGAGCTTTCAGGCAACAACCCCTGATAAACCAACAGTCTCAACGCTGCACTGCTAGTGCAGGATTTTTTCTGGTGGCAGAGAGAATAAGGAGGTGCTGATGAAAGTCACACTTTCAGAAAGCAGATAGATGTGGGAGGATAACAGGTTTTCAGTTAGGATTGTCCTGCTAGCAGATGGCGACTTCTGAAAGAACTGTGTGAGGGGAGATGAAGGGTAATTTAAGTAAAACAAAGATAGTAATCTTAAAAATCTAATCTAGAATTAATTGTAGGTATCTTTCTTGATTCTTTAAAGCAGTTTTATTACAGTTGTTTGGCGTAGGACATTCAAGAGAAAGACTCTTCTTTAACAACCCACAGAAATGCATGTGAACGAATGATTAAACAGGAGCCATAACAACCTCTGGCAAAGTTACATTCTTAAAATTAAGAATCTGATTTCACATCTAGGCACTAAGTTAAATATTCCCTGTGCCAAAAGCAGATGTCATTTAACTGAAATTCCTACCCGTGGTACTTTTGAGGAGAAAAAGAAAGAAAACAAGGAAGTGATGTAGACGGTGATGTGATTTGGCTCACATTGTAAGCTCTTAGAGATCAGTTTAGAAAATATTGTGCCTGCAGAGAAACTGTAGTCATCAAGGTCATCATCAGTTAAATATTGACCTGGAGTCTTTAAAAATACATAGCTCTTCAATGTTACATCGTGAATGCATACATTTATATCCACTGTGTGGTGGCATAAGGGCAGTAACACATCATTTTCTAGTAAACATAATGGTAATTTTGACAAACAGATTTATTTGAGCTAAAGGGTTGACAGTGTAAGTATGCATGCACTGTGGCATTATCTGCAGAAATCAGTTGCATAAATGTATTAGGTAAGCTCCAGTTCAGAGACCCAGGCAAGTCTGGTCCATTCTCCAAGTGGGGACATTTTCCTTACACATTAGTCCTGCAAATGAAATCTGGGAAATTAAAGATTATTGTTGCCACTGGCCACCTCCTAGCACTTTCTGCCTTTCAAAGCTTCATACATAGGAAAGTTTTCTTGTTCCAGTTCAGCAAGTTAGATCATTGCTTTTCTTCCTCAATGCTCACTCCTCATGACTAAGATTTCAGGACTGAACTGCTGTCAAAGATCTGGCAGCTTTCTAGATGTGGAATTATTAAAGAGTAAGTAAGAAAAAGCAAGCTTTCTCAAATGGCAAAACTCACAATCCTCTCAAAGCAAGTATTTCAAAACCAACATTTTCACTTGTCCTTCTGTCCGCTCCTCATTAACTCTGAGCCCTGCTCTGTTATTGTTGTTGATGATGATTTATTATGCATGCTGAGACATAAACGTTTCCAGCTTTTTACAAACAGTTTAAAGAAACATATTCTTTTCTCAAGATCTTATAACCTGTTGTCTTTTATTCTCTTTAAGTAGCATGTTCTTTGGCCCATTCTAATTACTTCAATAAAATAGCAGTCAAAATCAAGATATTAAAAAAAATATTTAATTTTGTTTTTCAAAGACAACTACCTGTGGATATGGTGATGTCCTTGATTTTGACTTTGTGGTTGAGAGGCGAGATTTGCTTCCCTTCCTATTATCCGTTATGGTCGGAGTTGAATTTGCGTATGAGAATGCCGGCTTGGTAGCATTGACCTGATCCAGGGAGAGCTGTAGTCCTTTATATTCAGTATCCCTATATAAAAGGCAAAAGTGAAAAACAAACTCACTTCATATCTTAATGGGAAACATTCCTTCCTTCTTAGTAGGGGGTAGAAACAAAAGATATTTTTAAGGAAAAAGAGTATAACCATCCAGGGCAAGTCAGTATATCCCCCTAATACATTTACACAGTATAGCTTACTAAACAATAACACTATTTTTATACTGAAGATATGATTGTTTTTTGCATCCAACTGTTATCATCCTGATATAATTTATTCAGTAATATAAAACAATGGGATGGAAATTTCAGAGATTTATATTATAGTTCTGCATTGGTCACATAGCTAAGCAGTAAATAGGATACATTTTCCTCAAAACTCTTCTAACTGTACAACTACAGACTTACCACGTGTGTATATGTGTGTGTGTGTGTTCATGCCTGTGTGGGGTTGCACATAACAGCCTACACAGATGACTAAATAAATTGAACAAATTGATTTTTTTTTTAGAAAACACTTAATCTTTAAGGTTATAATTATCATTGTTTACAAAGCTTCAGGCAATTGGTGCAAATTTTTAAATTTTTCTTCTTCTATGAGTCTTGTGTTTATTTCTTTGCTTGCGTTTTTTTTATACTGAAAGAATTTACCAGTCAGAGAAAACAGCTAAATAAATACAAACTTTGTGATTTAAATGGTCTGTCCCCCACTTACAAAATGCTAGAGGTTTTCTATGGGGAGCTAGATGCAACGGCAGTTTGTGAAGTTCAGTGTTAACTTCTTCAAACTTTCTAATGAATACATAACAGTAAGGAAAACTGGAATTATTCACAATGTCTTACTAAGCATAACGAGGGCATATGCATTGGACTGCACCCCTCTGCACACATCTGCACGTCTGCTGATACTCGGGGGAGTAAGAAACGAGCTCTCCAGCTTTCATGTAGTCATACGGAACCTATTCTGACAATGATTTATGAAAAGAGAGCAAAGCAAGAGTTTCTTCCTGACCAACCTACCTGGAGGAAAAGGGGAAGGATTCATGGCTTTTCTCTTCCTTTGTATTAATCAGCAGAAAAGTAAGAGAACAAGGAAAGAATAAAGCTTCTCTTATGCAGTCAAGGAGGCAACATATTCATTCACACATTACCCCATACTCCATCTAAACCTGAAGAATCATCCTTAATGTATTATATTAATAATAAATTGTTCACCCAGCTTTAGCAACAATATCTTGCTCTATAGTCACACATATACCAATGTAAGCCATGGCAGTCTAACATCTTTTAAGAAGGGAACTGCACCACAACCTGAGCACGACAGCTGAGTACACTGAAAAGCTTTCAGATAAAAATCAGGCACAGAAGGATGAACTTGACAAAACACTGAAATAAGTGAAATGGGATGAATCTTTGAACAGTCACAGAAAAACCTGAAGAACGGACAAATTAATTCATGTCAGTTATACACAAAATTTTTTTTGCAACTGATAAACAACAAACTTGTTGGTTGAAGAGGCTTAGGTTTTTTGGCAATGCAGACAATATGTATGTATCCATGTATATATAACACATGAGAACAAATCACTGACATTAGAACTGTGCTAACTACAGTTTCCAGTCCATAACATACAGAGATTAACCAAATATAATTAATGTTCTGTAATGTGAAATTAATTCTTAAGGAGGTAAATTCTTCAAATTTTGGATTTGATAGAGATAGGCCTCTGCTATAATATTTGCATTTCAAATATCCTGCCTGTAGTGAAAGTGGATTTGCTTTGGCCTGTTTGACAGGTAAGGCTCATCCACATTTTTTAAAACTATTAGTGGTTTCCCATGGTTACCCTCAGAATTTCCATCCAGACACCTTGACTTGACATGCAAATTATCTGTCTCCATAATTGAGTCCTACCAAATTATGTCATACAAAACATCAAAAACAAAGGATGTCAATTAATCTTCATATTTAACTACTACAGTAGCATCAGATATTATCAATAGTCCTGAAAAAACTATCAGTCTCATCCTGGTATACCCTGATCTAATATATTATATCCCCTGCTTATTTGATTATAAGAAAAGGAAGGGTCCTGTGGTCTCAGTGTCAGATGCAGAAACAGTTGTGTCCAGAAATGAAAATTAATCAAAAGTAAATAAATTGTTCACAGCCTTAGGGGTATGAGGAGGTTCTGTTTCGTTTTCGAACCTACAAAACCCTTTTGCCTCTCTTTTTGCTAGAGAATCTGTAGCTCTGCACCCCTGCCCTTACCTCCTCATCTCTGGTATGTACCAACCAGTAACAGTCTGCTGTTTTCTGTTGTCAGTGGAAGAGTTTTTAAAAATTGGATGAAACACCACCCCAATATTCAGACCACAGACTTTCATTCCAACACTGCTTGCCTGCTGTTACAATCTGTGTAAGGGTCAAGCACTCAGATCACAGAGGCTACGTTGTACAACACTTCTAGGTCACAGGAATCCACAAAACCCCAGGCAAACCCGGCCACCCAAAACCTTGCATGCTGTTATGTCTTACTTTTTTAAGTCTTTGGTATCATTACGGCGAGGAGTCACCCTCCCAGAACACCACACATTAGAATAAACACAAGTTGATATTTGCATCCAATTGCTTAGATGGCAACATCATCAAACAAAGGATAAGAAGAAAACTGTCTGAAGTTCTTGCTACTGAATGTAAAATTTCCCCTTAGAAAAAGAACACATCTGCTCTCTCCTTCCAGGTGAAACACCTGAACTTTTTTGCATCATCGAGGCATAGTTCAATACCATCTCAACCCTATCCTAGGACAGCTACCCTTCAGAAGAGCCAAGATAGACACCACAACACCAATAGTAACAGGCTGAGACAAATACCAGTACCAGAAGTTCAAAAAAAAAAAAAAAAAAAAGCAAAGAAAACATAGAGAAAGGGTCCTGTGGTCTCAATGCCAGATGCAGAAGATGTTCCACCAAGAAATGAAAACGTTTGAGTATATCCATATGCACTGGGAGGCAAAGGACTAGAGGAACCAGGGCTCCTAGTGGTTCACAAACTACAGATGGAAATTCTGACAACTTCCTGGAGGAATTTATAAAACTTCCTCCAACCATGGAACTGTAATCTCCAGATTCATGTTCCCAGACACCTGAATCCTCTATTACACAGTCCCAACAACATAGTAGTACTGCATCTTGTGATCTACATGTAATTTAAAAAAAAAAAGTGGTGGATATGAGCCTCTTCCTCCAAGATCCTCACCTTTGGGATCCCACAGGGATCCATACAGTCTACATCCATCTACATGAGACTGCTGAGAGAGAGAGTGATATGGCATGTGTTCAATTGCTAACAGTATGTTGCTGACAATCTACTATTTATCTCATTTTCTGATGCAACTATCATCACTATAAAACATCAGAATAACTACAGGAAATTAGCTCTTAAATAAAGAACAGATGGATCAAACTGAATCCAGACAAGACCAAAGTGATGCTTCTTTGCAAGGGGAAAGATATTAAAGACCTCCACCTTTTCATGATGGGAAACAGCCATTCTTTCCACAGTTGGATGGAAATTCTAGGTTCTCTTTGACTCCTCAAAAAACTTGGATGCATATGCTTTTGGTAGCATATGCTTCCAAGAGTGTATTATTTCTCCTCTATCTTGTCCCACACCCCCATATGAGAATCTGGACAGTATGGTCAATGTATCAGGCACCTACAGACTGGATTACCATACTTCACTGTAAGCAAAAAGAAATCAGAAGACAAAGCATAAAATCCTCTTGCTACAATATGCTGCTTCCCATTTTCTTCTCAGAAATAACTCCCAGAAGCATTTCCACTCTGTGCCATGTCTCTGGCTCTTCCAATGCCCATTGTAAAGCTTGAGCCTAATTTTGAAAGCACTTATTGATGTACTACTGCTAGCATCATGAAAAAAAAAGGATCGATGGCTGTGCCAACTGCTCTCCTCTGCAATAAAGCATCTGAAAATTCAGTACAAAGCATTCTTTACTAAAGGGATCTAGCTATAGCAAGCTGCATAGATGAAGCAAAGGCTGAAGCAGAAAAGCATTTGGAAGAGGAAACCAATCTGTTTGCACATGACTTGGATGCCAGCTGGATCTGCAACACTTGTGTCAAGAGTTCTCACAATTCAGCTTTAGAAGACACTTTCTGCCTACTACCATTGCCAAAATGCAAGTCCTGAAAAATGATTTCAAATAGAAAAAGCAGTTCAACAGGTGTATCCAGAGGAAGGACTAAAATGATGGCATCCATTAGTGAAGAATAAATATCCAGATTCTACCAAATGAACTTAAGAAGGGCAACCAGACTCAAGAATAGAGATCTTATATATCCACAGTCATAAGCAACATAACCTTCAAAACAAGAAGAAAACCTTCAAAAAAGAAGAAAAAATGCCCATCCTATGGAAAACTCTGCAAAAGTCCTACGAAAGACCATCTTTTTATGTTAATGCCACAGTATGTCAGAAAGGAAGAATGAGCTATACATGCAGTGACTGAGGATACAAAGATAACCAACAGAGGCAGATATTTACACTGAACAGAACACATAACAGAACACATAACAGAACACATAACAGAAATTGTGAGATTAAACTAAAGGTGTCAATATCACTAATGTTCAGTCTATTTTGCTGAGTTGTTAAAATCAGCCATGAAGGTGATAAAAGTCTGGCACTTCCTCATGCATGTCTGACCACAATACTGTAATATATCGTTCTTCTACTTTTAAACAATGCCTGCAACTTTTAACATTTCCACACTCCAGCTCATGCAATGCTAACAGAGCGCCATTCAGCAGATGAGTGAAAAGAGAACAGATTCTGGTTGTTTGTCATCTACATGGCTTTCTAAATCAGCAGATGGTATAACAAAACAGACAATTTCCTCATCTGTTGTGTCCTCTGTTCATGTACAATGTGTCTCAGAAATGTTTACAAAGGCCTCAGTCTGCTCACGAGACTTGTCAGGAAGAGCGTATGCAATCCCTTTAGCATC